TCCTTTTTGGTAAATTTCAAATTGAATTTCGCACATAAATTCCGAAAAAAGAGGTGCGAGCCCGAATTGACCGCCACAGCCTCTGCTTGAGTGGCGGTAGTTCAAACCATTAGTCTACCACGGCTTTCATTATGAGTACCAGAGCAACAGAATTCACTCCGGGGCACTACTCAGAAAACCTAGACCAGAACCAATTTAGAAAAAATAATTTCCTCAAGTGGTTCTAAAGGGAATTGAGCTGTCCTTATCCAGCGCCCACATTGCAAACGTTGGGCCACCGGGCTTAGAGTAACATAAGCTCACATACTGACAGAACATATTGACTTATTGTACCAAATCGCCCAAAAAACTTGTCCTGCGGTCGGTCAAACTGCACACCATTCTAATCACTTGCAGCATATGGTTTAAGAGCAATTTTTTTCTGAAATGTCTGAGAAATCTCTTTATCCTTTTATTAATAGAATAGGTAACTTAAAATATTTTATAAAGAAATACGCCTTTAAAATAACAATAGCACTCTGCGCCCTGTAATCACTAAAAGTTACATTTCCTTTCTGATTTTCAGAATCCTTACGGAATTTTCAGTGAGCTTAATATTCTCATCACAAAACAAAAATCTTGGGAATACCTACATAAAGCATAATTTTCTAGAAAAAACATGCCTATTATATAGTATCCCCTGACACATTTCACGCGTTATGCAAGATTTCCCTTGAGGTAACTATCGAGGTGGAAGTGAGAACGAACTATGAAACGTTACGTTAACGTACTTTTTTCTAGTGGCAAATTTTCGAACAGCTCCGTAACCTTTTTAAAACTTTGTCATATTTACATTTTCTCCATGTCATTACGTATTTAAGTAGTAAGTAAGAACTTACTAGTATGACGTCTTCGTTGTAGGTACAAAATAAATAAAGCGTTGAAGCTTTTTTATGATACCAAGTAACAGAACGAGCAAGTCGTGCGCCTGGTAGTAAGCGACACACCTGTCCATAATAGTTGCAGTACCACTCAGAGCTTTAAATCACATAGGTCTGAGAAGCATTGACTTGACACTGCGCCCTGAGACGTAATTTCACGTCTCATGTGCCTGTAATTTCACCAGCAGCCTTACGTTCAGAACCGAAACGCAATAGGGAATGTTCACATTACTGCTTGACAACAGAACTAGGTAAGTACTTGTCTGGATAAACTCTTTCACAAGAAGTTCTACGTCTAAATAATTCGATAAGAATCTATTATTATAAGTCAAAATTTCTGTAATTTAAAAAATTAAACTTTAATATCATAGTCATGGAATAGGTTATTTTTAAGAAATTATCGTATATTTCTGGCTAAGAAGAGAGACAATAAGAACTCTTGGGTTGTTTTACCGACAGATAGTGTCACTTTAGGAAGTAGGTATCTATTTACACAGAATATATACATAAATGGAAATATAATAAATATAACGAGTTCTTAGGTTTTCGAGATTGTTACACATAGGAAACGCGATTTAAATCCGGAAAAATAGTTTCATTTCCTGTAATAAATATAAATAAATGAATTTCCAAAAACAAGTTTATTTATTATACGACTTATTTGTAGCGACAGACAATCAGTGAACAGTTCATAATAAGGAAGTTACCACATATTATTGGTCTTTCATTTATTTATATGCTATTATAAATATTGCTTACGAAAACTTTTCAAAAGTAACAGTAGGTACTTCAATAGTACTCAAGTATATACTACTCGAGGGTTTTTTATTATACCAAGTGACGGAATAAACAAGTCGTGTGCGTGGTTAAGTGACACGCCGGTCATAGCTGTCGCAGTGCCACTCAGAACTTTAAAGGAGCTACTTAACTGCTACCAAAATTATATATAAGTATTTACTAGGACTTTATAATTTAAATTGGAAGAATTAAATTGAATACAGTGGCGGAAATGTAGAATTAATATCAATTAATTGATTGAAAAAAACTATCAAATTATGGTGTTAAAAGCATTGCAAATTCATTATAAACAATAGAACAAATTAGTCACATAAGTTATACTGCAATCTCTAATGTTTTAAGATCGCATGTCTCGGAAACATATGAATTTAGTTTCTTAGTAGTAGTTAGTAGTATACGTAAATGTTCCAATGATGTATGACATTTCGCTTTTATTAGACCCTATTATTTATGTTACTACTGTAGAGAGACAATCTTTTTATTAAATAATAAATAACGAGACGAACGAATCGTGAGCCTAATGTAGGCGACAGGTCTATCCATAACATTTGCAGTGCCACTCAGAGCTTTAAAACACAAAGGTCTGAGGGGCACTGCCACTGCGCCCGACACCCTGAGACGTAAGTTGACAAGTCCCATGTGCCTGTAATTTCACCAGCACGCAATAATTTACTTTACTTTTTTTTTATTTTTTTTTATTAAACCGGAACGCAATAATTCTCACATTACTGTTTGAAGGTACTAAATAGGTAACGTGGCAATACTACCCTGGACAAACGCTTTCACAAGGAGCTCTACTGCTACTAAATTAATAGAATTATTATGCAGATAAGTATAAGAAAAGCTGTCCTGCACTAAAATCAGCCAATCAACTAAACTAGGGCTCGTTAAAACACGTCTACAAAAATAAAATAAAAAAGTTAGCTTATAAACCTTAACCCTTTTAAAAACAATAGAACGCTCTATAAAACAAAAGAAAATTGCCGGTAATCGCAAAACTGCGTGACGACTGTTGCGCAATAAGGTTGAGCTGTTAAATCCTTAAAAAAAACCAACACAACAAGATCTTGAGCCCGAAGTCGCAATCGCAAACAAATTCAAACAAATAGGCGACAATTCTGAGGTCTTTCTTAACTGGGTGGTTTATTAGCTATCAGATTTACAGCAAAGCAGTAAAAGTCTAACACAGATAACAAGAAATTTAATGGAAAATCCTGAAGCTTTGGACGGCGATGTTATTTTGTACTTCCTTTTTTAAGGAACAATAATATAGACATGGCTGTTTTTATTCCATTTTGTTACTAAACTACTTAAAACAGAAAAAAGAACAGTTTCCATTTAAAACGTAGTAAATCCTTTACTCTTTGTCATGATATAATTAAGACATAATTCTGTTCATTGAGAATAGCCTTTGATAAGAAAATTTAAAAATGAAATATAAATGGCTCTAATTGACAATTCAGACTTGATTTTTAACTTAGTCTGTGGTTTGAACAAATGACGCCTTGCTCTTGAATAATATCTTCATCGACTATATACTCGATGAATATCTTATACGTGCTGGTATATTTTTTGTTACAATACAATAAAATTTTGTTACAAACAAACGGTTTACATTAACCGTAAACATATAAAATATTTCAAAAACTTATTGTAACAAAATGCACACATAATCTAACATACGAGTATACGAGTACATTACACCTCGAAGTCAAACACTAGCGCCACGTAGTGATTACGTGTTGCGTTGAACGCGTGAAGTGGCACATTTCATTCCGCAACCTAAGATGGCGCTGCTTCAGCTAATTCTAGGTAAAAGACGGATCTGTGGGCTTCAAGGTTAGTCTCCTTAATTATGTATGTCACTGAACAAGCCCTTGTTCCTTTCCGCTGAGCTCACATTTTGTGAAGGATCCTCAATCCCTTCCAACTTTAAAGATCCGACAAAGTTCCTTTCTAATTTATTTTTTTTTAATATTTCAAAGCTAAGTTGAATATTCTAGGTTTTGAGAAATTCCACACCTTTGTGTAGGTACGTATCGACTTGACTTCCGAACTCTTTTAAGCTCCAAAAAACTAAAAGCAAAATAAGTTGTACTATACGTATATAAATTGCAGTTTTCTTTCATAAGTTAAATGCCAAATTGTTTTGCACTAAAAGCAGCGGCAAAAAAATTGTACTACATACTCAAACTTTTTTTTATAATACCAACTGACGGGATCACGGGGCGAACAAGTCGTGGGCCTGGTGGTAAGCCCCACGCCTGTCCTTAACAATTGCAGCGCCATTCAGAGCTTTAAATCGCAAAGATCTTAGGGGTACTGCCACTGCGCCCGTCACCTTGAGACATAAGTTGACAATTCCCATATGCCTCTAATTTCACCAGTAACCTTGCCCTTCTAAACCGGAACGCATACGAAATATCCAAACCGGAGCACGTATTCGGATTTGTATCGAGAACATAGGCCGCCTTTGATGTCATCGACCAGTGAATAGCAGATCCAAACAGGCCACCACGGGTGGGCACGGGCGCGCCCTCTTTACACAGCGCATTTTCAAGAAAAGCGCGGCGCGGGCCGCGAAACGTAACTCAGTCCGTGGGAAGCCGCCTTTACTTTTGTTCACCAATACACATGTCTTCTGACAGACAATTTACATTCAGTATCACGATACGATATAACATAAAAACATTGATATATAACTCGTATAAAAGTTATAATACAATCGAAAGCGATTCAAATAACTATAGTAGCAGTAGAGCTCGTTGTGAAAGCGTTCATCCGGGGAAATACTGCAGTACCTTACTTATTTCTGCCGCCAAACACCAATGTCAGCATTACTGTGTTTCGGTTTTGAAAGGTGTTGATGAAATTACAGGCACATGGGACTTGTCAACTTATGTCTCAGGGTGACAAGCACAGTGGCTATGTCCTCAGTTCTTAACCATTTAAAGCTTTGAGTGGCACCGGACAGGCGTGTCGCTTAACACCTGGCTCACGACCTGTTCATCCTGTCACTTGGTATCACAAAAAAAATTTGAAGAAAAATAATTTTTGTATATAATTCTTCAAAAACAAAACACAGTTGTTATTTATATTTACGTAAATAAAACACTGCAGCATTGACAGTGCCCCGCCTGTTCTTTGCTTAAGTTTATTATGAAAAACACTGTTTTTTCTTTAAAAGTCTTATCCTTACAATTCCAGCAATCTTGGTTTTGTTTCGCAAGAGATGTTCTAAAATGCAGCGCGCTACATATTTTTTGCCATATTAATACTGATCGTACAGCTCTCAACATGACGCTACACCACGTTTTATTGGTTTCGTTTACATTATTCACGTTCACGTATTGTCTGTCCATCAAAAACGAAGGTATGTTCTTTGTTTGAAATTGTTCGATTTTTTTCATCAGTGGAAATATCATAATAAAAAAGCGCTTTTGAAAACGCGATCTGATCTCCAAATTTAATTATCGTGCGTTCGATGGTTTATCTGTGGTTCTTTTTGTACTCGGCGTATTCATGGAATAGTTATTTGTTAACCGAGGCTGCAAAGTTGTTTGACGCGAGTGCTAGTATTGACAACCTGAGCAGGCGAAGATAGCTAAGAACGAGCGAAGCGAGTGGTTCAAAAATAGAATCCTGAGCGTAGCGAGAATTTCAAGGCATGAGACGCAAAACAACTTTGCTGCCGAGCGGAACACACAACTTTTCACTTCACAAAAAGAAAAATAGCTGAGTAGTAGTAGTAAAATTTTTCGTCCTCCGGCAGACTAAGGCGTCTAGCCATAATCTCTCATCATAATCTGCCAAATCTTAGATTTCAATTGAAAAACAGTGGAACTGTAAAACATCAGTTTTTTATAATTAAAACAAAAAGTTTCTCTTCAGATGCCTTCTGAATTTACACCCCATAAATTTTTATAGTTGCTTGTAAATTTTATTTTGTATGATTAAATGATAATTGTAATTATTATTTAAGTATTTCTTCGACAAATTAAAATAATTTATTTAACACAATTAGTTATCATTGTCAATTTAATGTCAACAATAATAAAAATAAAATATATCAACGGATTTATATTACATAAATAAGTAATGTACGACAAATTGTGTAGTTGAGTTGAACGTATCATTGTCTTTTTTTTTCATCGATAGAAAAAGTTAGGTGCACCACAACCATCATCAAGTTCGAGTTTCAAATACCTTTTATTATTTACAGAGTCAACAATAACAATCATTACATTATAAATTATGCAGGTTAAATAGGTTTAAGCTCTAGTTTTTTGTGTACGTGCGTAAAGTTTATGCTTATGCCGCTTACTCTTTACTGAGCGAATCCTACTTCGCCGTCGCCCTTTGCCACTTACACTTACTTTTACACTTATTCACTAATATAACACAAAAAAGGAAAAATAAAACTTTTTTATCATAGCAGTGAAATGGTGCTGACTCAGCATATGCCTAAGTTCCCTAAGGCGCCGGTGTTTTTTTATTTATAATACTAAGTGACGGGACGAACAAGTGGTGTGCCTGGTGGTAAGCGACACGCATATCCCAAACAGTTGCAGTGCCACTGCGCCGGACACCGTGAGACATAAGTTGCCAAGTCCCACGTGCAACGTCCATCTTACTTCATCGGATACCCAAATTTATTAAAGAAAATGATTCTGAAAATATTAAAAGGTACACTAAGACTTTTCTTAATTAAACTCGATTTCCATAAATAACTTCCAGAAGAGTACATGTTATACTGAACGGTTGAACCAATTTACCGTCTACAAAAACACTCTAAGTACGTTATTAGTTTATGAATTGAAGACATAATAATATCTACTTTTTAAAACAAAGTCACATAATCATTTATTCCATAGGTAAATCCATTTTTACACTTGAAAACGTCATTTTTTAAGCTACTGCTCGCTCACTACGCTGACCTCTCTGAGAAGAACGAACAAGAAACTCTAAAGATTGCTCTTTTCAAATAATCTTAAATGCTATAAAATACACTTTGAATCATAATTGTGTGAAATCAAGACTCATGTTGTCTTTCCATACATCTTTATCTAACAAATATTCTTCAATTTTGTAATATGACTTTTCAATTAAAATACTTTCAATGTAAGTTTTAAACGTAGGTAATGATAATCTTAATATATACTCCAGAATCTTATTGTAAAAATATATAAGTTCCCCATAAAAGAATCGTTTACCTTAGCTAGACGAAATCGTGGTGCCATGAGTTTAGACTTCTAAGGTTAAAATTATGGATATCTTCTTTCTTAAAGAAATTATGTATATTTTTACGCGCATATAAAATATTTGAGTAAATGTACTGTGATGCCACAGTCATGATACCAGTCTCATTAAACTTTACTCTGAGAGAAACCCGAGAACCTAAACGGTACACAGAACGAATCGCTCGTTTTTGCAATACAAATATGGTTTGTATATCTGCCATTTTACCCACATAAGAATCCCGTAGGACATTTTTATATATGGAAGTAACTAAAGTAAACTAGTCTAGCAGTAGCAACATCGGAACGCTCACGTACAGACAGCGCATGCAGACGAGCTTAATCTGCTGGCTAAGGAAGATATATGTGGAAATCATTGAAGTTTACTATCTAAGGTCACGCCCAAAAAGACAGCTTTATTAACAAGTCTAACTTTTCTCCATTTATTTTTATGATTAGACTAGTCGATATTACATTAGTTAATTCAAATTTAACGCACATTGTCTTCTTGACATTGAGCAATAAATTGTTAGCATTAAACCAATTAACCCTTGAGAGGGTATCGTTAATATTGCCATAGTTAACGTCATGTCTGTCTGTTTTAAAAATCAAGGAAGGAATCAGAAGTCAGCAAACTATACTATTTCGCAAAGGTTCTTAAGGAAGAATGTGTGCAAACAATCAGTCATACCTATGAGCTGTAATGTTGTTTGTAATGCAATTTATATAGAGATCACTATTTCTTCACACACTCTCACTAGTACATAGTTCATGTCATTCAGTAAAATCTCGTTGTTCTAAACATTGTCACTGTGTGGAGCAATGTGTGATTTCTGCCGAATGAAACAGTAGTGGTATTAATTCTCCTAATGACAATGGTTAGTGGTTATGATAGGTTTACTTGTCAAAATCAAACAGCGACTTCGGTAGCCTAACGGTTTGCATTGTGGGCGCTGTATGCGGAAGTCTCGGGTTCGCGTTCCGGTAAGACCAATTTGGAAATTAACTACTATGTTAAAATGTTTTTGAGAATTCCGTAGTTTGAGACGAGGGCAATTGGTATGGTTGCGTGACCCATTGTGTGACACACTATGGGTACATAGTATTCATGGACACAAGCACTATCTATACAAGTCAACAACAAATTATATTTAACACACCTTTATTATGCCTTTATCCTTCTAAGCTTAATTAAATTACACAATTTACTCACACGCTACCAATTGGTCTAATAAATTTTGTACCAATATAAAAAATGTTGCCCACAATTTTCGGACACCATCCTTTAATCTAGGAACAGGTGGACCTTTCGCGAAGCGCCTGGCGTCCAATAACGACTGGGAACGTAGGATTAACGCGACGACTAATGATTGAGATTTTTTTGACGTTATAAGCATAAATTTTCGGAGAATCTACTTTGAGCGTTTGTAAACAAGGTGTCATAAAAAAGTATCCGTGTAATGTTTTGGTTGTGTAACGTGTGGTACAGATAATCGAAAAATTCTGTGTTTCTTTATGACTCAATTTTTTGTTTTATTTCAGATGTTAAAATTATATCCAAAACGATCGGAGTTGTTGTAAGCAATGTTTGTTCTCCTTTTACGAACATTACGACGTACAGCAGGAGTCAAAAGGTAATCGACATAAAGTAATTAGTTCCAAAATATCTTTACTTGAATAAAAAATATTTTAGCTAATGTTTTTACTTTCTATTAAGTATACAACAATGTAGTAACATCTTTCGACTAAGCTATGTCAATTCATAATAAAACGATTTTTTAAATCTTGGTGGCACAAAAATTTTACTTGATTGCCTTCTAGAGAAAGTGGGAAGTGAAATTTTTTATTACCTACCTTAAAAAACAAATATTATTTCAGACACATTTCATTAGTAGGTGTTATTATGCTTTTCTTGCAATTATGTTACTGAGTGGGTTAGTAATAATTACTTTATAAGGAAAGTTACTTCACTCAATATAATTATTGGTTTAATTTGGAATTCGAAAATTTAATTTTATTATTAAAAAACATGTAATTTAATTTCCTGTATACTTCTTTGAGTAGATCCATCCAATATTTTTTGGACCTTGTTGAATACTCAATCAGCATGTAAGATGTGCTGAGATGCAACTGCTTAATCCTATTAAAATGTCAAAACAGTCTAAAGACAACACTTTGTAAGCATTTTAGACAGAAAGTAAAGTTTAAAAATGGCAAAAATAAATCTCTGTACACAACCACAAATGTTTTAAACAATTAATATCTATTCCGCTGACCTAACAGCGATAAAGAACATAGCCGAAACACACGGGGCGGGTATGAAATTTACGAGCCAGCTGACTATGGAGTTCTGCCAAGGTCCTGGTCCCAAGACGCATAGTCCTTTATTGAACACGTAGCATTTTTAGAAGCTGTTATTATTTTGTTCGCGCGTCGAATTATGTTGTTACGACTTTTATCTTATTTTGAAATTTAAAGCGTTATACGTTTACGAGCCGCACTTTATAAGAGTTAAAAAAAAATCTCCCAAATCCTTTTCGACTGCGCCATCTGATAGACGAAAAAGTTTGTCAGAAAATATTTAAAAAATATGTTCGAATTTAATTAAATAATTCATGATTCAAGACGGAATTTTCTTCTGTCTTGTTGTGCAAGGCAGAGTGGAGAGCACTAGACTGCTCGGAAGGTCACCCATTCGATGGACCGATCAAATAAAATCTGCAGTGGGCGATCCTTTACAAGAGTGCACGAGGGAGTCCACTAACAGAGAGAGATGGCGAGATGTCGTAAGGCAAGCCACATCAGCCGTTAACAAACGTACTCCGTGATGACCACAACACCTCTGCCAAGAGTGATACGAAAGAGACGAATTCATGATTAAATGAGTCATAAATGTTATTTAAAAAAAAGCCGTGGTAGCCTAATGGTTTGCCTGTCGCCTCTCAAGCAGATGCCGTGGATTCAAATCCGGGCTCGCGAAATTTAATTTGAAATTTACCATTAGCTTTTCGGTGAAGGAAAACATCGTAATGAAACCTGCACGTTGAAGGTTTACAAGCCTCGGAAAACGTGTGATGTCCCCAACCTGCATGGACCAGCATGGTGAAGTATAATCTAAAACCCTCGCCTGAGAAGAAACCCGTGTGAGACTAGTGAGACGTATAAATAAATTGATAATGATGATGAAGTGTTGTTTTAAAAGATACCGCACAACACATCCTCATGTTGTGCCGTTTGTAAAACTACTATTACCTAGAATTTTTATTTTTTATTTACAGTTACTCTGCATTTTCTGCAAAGGTATAATCCCATCATGCTGGACAAGTGCAAGACCAAGTACAAATACACCTGTACCAACTACTACAACATCGACTACAATTTCTAAAAGCACTAGTCCATTACGTACTACTACTGTACAAATTACTGAAGAAACAACATCTAAGGAAGAATAATAATAAAAAAGAGCATATTATTACAAGCATTAACGTCAATATTTTTATAGTACTAAAATACATTTTCAGTTATTTAACACATTCAAGGTGTAGTTCCTATGTGACTCTCAATGTGTGAGAGCAACATAATATTATAATCAATAAACGAATTTTATAACACTAAACTGTAAATTTTGACCTACATAATATAAATACCCATATACATAGCTAGGATAGTTGCCACTTCACACACACACACACACACACACACACACACACACACACACACACACACACACACACACACACACACACACACACACACACACACACACACACACACCCACACACACACACACACACACACACACACACACACACACACACACACAC